CCAACCAACCAGCCAACAAACCAACCAACAAACCAACCAACCAACCAACCAACCAACCAACCAGCCAGCCAGCCAGCCAACCAACCAGCCAGCCAACCAGTCAGCCAACCAACCAGCCAACAAACCAATCAACCAACCAACCAACCAACCAACCAACCAACCAGACAACCAGCCAACCAGCTAACCAGCCAACCAATCAGCCAACCAACATGCCAATCAACCAGTCAACCAACCAACCAACCAACCAACCAACCAACCAACCAAACCAGCCAACCAGACAACCAGACAACCAGCTAACCAGCCAACCAACCAACCAGCCAAACAATCAAACAGCCAGCCAACCAACCAACCAATCAACCACCTAACCAACCAACCGACTGACCAACTGACCAGCCAACCAACCGACCAGCCAACCAACCAACCAGCCAACCAACCAACCAGCCCACCAAACAATAAGCCAGCCAATGAACCAAGCAACCAAACAATCAAACAATCAACCAACCCGTTGCCGTAAGTCAATGCCTGCTCATGGTGAGGTCATGTGTTACAGAAGTTGCATAGGGTTTTCTTGGCTGTAATTTTTATGGAAGAAAATCATCAGGCTTTTGTTTCATGGCACTGTTGTGGGGTTTGAACCACCAACCTTTTGGTTAACAGACAAACGTAAGCTATTAGCACCACTCGGGGACCTTTGTAAATGCCCAGGAAATGCTGTTCTTTGGCGTTATCGCCATTTCATGCCCAGTTTTTGGAGGAGGGACTAGTTATTGAGAGTGTGGGTGGACCTGGGCCAGACGCTGACTCCACCACTAACTTGTCTTGCTCTAGTTGCTGAGCCTTGGTTTCTGTGTCTATAATCCTGCAGGATTCTATGGGATTGACATCAGTCTTAAATTGGTGTGCACATTAATGTACAGCCTTGCATGGAATAAATTCCCAACAAATGTGACCTCAAGATCTATGCACCAATGGTGGCTGAGGAGATAAACAAAGTAAATATGACTTTAACTGGGGGAGGAAAAACAACAATGTGTTGGAGAACAAACAGTATGTTTGACTCTGGAATCTCGTCTAGAACTTGAATGTAAACCCCAGATTTGCCACATACTGTGTAACCCACTGGGTAGAACAAGTACCCCTAGCTGGAGTTGCCATGGGTTGAAATTGACTGTACAGCTACTAACAATGAGTAGGGATGTGGTGAAAGTTCACTGAAATAGCACCAGTCACTCATCTACTCTTCATTCATAAGTATTTATGGAATGCCTAGCATGGCTGCAGGGTGCTAAGAAAACATTAAGTCCCTTGTTCCTTTGAAGAAGGACAAGACTTGCAGATGGACACCAGAGTTTAAAAGACAAATGATACTCAGCAGAATGGTTTGGAAGAGTAGTGCTCTATGCCACAAAATGGTACCTCAGTCTGGAAATCCCCAACCTGGGTTAGAACCCGTTTGGGGGGATAAAAGAAGAAAAGTTTAGAAATCATTTGGTTCAGTATTTACACATGTGTAATGGACTGAGAGGATGGGATAGAACAATGCCCTGGTTGAAGTCTACTATCCACACGGATGGCTACAGTACCTTGTATGAGGGAGGTGCCCCAGCATTGTAGGGTGGCAGGGAAGCACTCACTGATGTCTGGGGCACCTGGGGGTGTTTCCTGCAGGAAGTAACCCATGAGCTGACTCTCTAAGGGTGACTGAAGTGACTTGTCAGGGCAAAGGAGGGACAGCTCAGGCAACTGCAAAAGCCCAGGATGGAAAGGTGCTCAGCCAAGGTCATGTCCATTTGGGGAGTCCTGAAGAGTCCACGGGGCACATGTCACCACACAGGGATTTTTCTGGCAGTGAAGCAGAAGGCAGGAAAGAGTACTGAACTGGACAGCGGTTGATGGGTCACCAATGGCAAGGCGTGAAGGTACAGTCACATGTACCAAGGCTAGTGTCCAGGGGGTCCTTGTCTCAGCATTCAGGTGGGAATTCAGGCAACAGTTGGCCTGAGGGACAGAGGAGTGAGTGTTGTTCTGAGAGATCTGTCCATGGGGCCATGATCTCAGCCTGGAATGATCTTATTTATACATTGCTCATTGTCCATCTCCCCTAGTAGGATGTGAACCCCAGGGAAGCGGAGCCCCAGATTCTCTTGACCTTGCTGTATGCAGCCGGGCACCAGGCTGGCCCATGGTGCACGCGCCTGTGTGTTGAGTGACTCCGCAGCAGGAGGAAGCCTGGGAGCTACATGGAGTCCAGAGCCCAGGGGACTCCGAAGAACCTTGGTCTGAGTGCAAATGGGCCTTTGGTGCTGCTATCATTCCTGTCTCAGGCAGGATTTATTCATCTCTCCCCACCTGTCCCCATCCCCAGGCTTGGGGTAAGGTGATGACATGAAGTTATGTGCAGATTGTCTTAAAACAGAACAATCAAGATGCAAACCAAAGCTACGAAGAATAGTTCACTTGCTCTTTATTGGTCCAAGACCCTGTGTATCATGTTCATCTGATTTTAGAGTCTCTGACATCCGACTCTGGCCCATCTTGGCCAGAACTGGCTAATAATCAATCTTCAGTTTAAATACCTGTAAAATGAGGATAATAATGGCTGTCTTATATGATTACAGTGAGCAGTAGGTACCATAACATATTTTTCAAATGACTGGTACAGAATTTAGGTCCAAGTGGTGCAAACAATTAACACACTCAGCTAAAAAAGTTCAAATCCACCCAGAAGTGCCTCAAAAGAAAGGCCTGGCGATCGATTTCAGAAACATCAACCATTGAAAATCCTGTAAAGCACAGGTCTACTCTCACACATAAAGGGTTATCTTGTGTCAGAATTGACTATCAGGCACCTTATTATTATTTTTTTAAGCAATCAAACCATTTTAATGCTGAGATTAAAGAAACCTGAACTCTTAGGGCAGGGAAAAAAGTCATCTAATGAAAAATGCATCTGAAGCAAGGTAGTGCCTTGCAGTCACAGGTCCCTGGGAGCTGCCCTCTGGGTTGCTGACTCCTTGCACACTACCTTATCACCTAGCTCTGATCTGTGCCTGCTTTTAGCCACCCTTTCTCTGGGTTCCCCACCTTCCCCAGGACAGTTTTGGAACCTCTAGAAGTCACCACAGCTGAAGAGGGGTGGAGCACCCCATAAGATTTATTTTGCAAGTGAGAGAGGCAGCCCAGGAGACCCAGCAAAGAGGAACCTGTGCCACCATGTGCAGAAAGCCTGGTCGGGAAGCCTTTAGATTACAGTTTCCAGGGAAAGCAGGGAAGACACATGTCTGGGCCTGGAAGGGCACTGGACTCAATTCCAGGTACAGCATTGGCAGCCAGAACTGAACACCAAGCCTGCGGGACAGTTCTGCTTGAACAGCCGCCCCCCAGCACAGTTGTAGTAACTGGACCGCTCCTGAGGATTGGGGTAGAGGCCATCAGCTTTGCCCTGGCAGAAAGTGTCTTCTCTAGGGCTGGGCCCATTCTCAGGCTTAGAGGGCTGGTCTGGTCTGGGAACTTCAGGCTTGGTGGGACCTGAAGGCATGTATGGGAGACCTGTGAAGACAGTAAACATTCACCCAAGGTCCCTAAGAGAGAGACCAAATACATAGGCCAAGCACAGGCAGCTACCACGCCCACACCCTTCATGCAGAGCACAGCCCAGGCAGAGAATGCATGACAGAGACCTGCCACCACATTTATAGCTGGAGCTCAGCTCAGCAGGAAACACCTGGGTGATGAAATTGGTCAAGTACTAAGTTATTTAAGTTTACGTTCACCCAGAGGTACCTTGGAAGAAAGCCCTGGTGATCTACTTCCAAAAAATGAGCCATTTTTTGGAACTGGGGAGCACAGTTCTACCCTGACAAATATGGGCCACCATGAGTCAGGTGTGGTATTTAATGGCACTGTGGGTTAATGCACTGTATTGCAAAGTCAGTTTGAATCACAAGGTCAGTGGTTCAAGCTCACTAGCTGCTCCTTGGAAATCCTATACAAGGTCTCTATGGATCGGAACCGACTTGACGGCACTTAACAACAACAACAACCATGTCAGCAAAGCTCAGTCAGGTACTAGTAGAGGACATGGGGACCCCACACAGGCTGAGCCAACCTTCCTCCCTGAAGATAGGAGCATTCTGGGGCTTCCAGGCTGAAGGCCCTCTGGAGGAAGCCCTGCTTACAACACTCAGGGTAAGCATTGCTGCAGTGGCAAGAGGGAGAGGAAGGTGAGAAAAGAAAATTTCAATCAGGGAGTCTAAGAGGTTCGTTCTGGGTTTACCCTCTGCTGAGAATTTTCATTGTCACCCTATATATATATAAATCAGAATCTACATTTTAATAAGATCTCCCAGGTGATTCTTACAGATACATATTTTTATGTATCTGTAAGAATCACCTGGGAGTCTTGTTAAAATGTACAAATGCAACATTTCAGCAGGATGTCAAACTTGAATGAACTGGTTTGAAGATTTTGTTTCAACAGTTTCCTCAGATCCTTGGGTTGGATGAAATTTGGGAAATCTCAATATTGGGTCAATGTCAGTTCCTCAGAAGGACCTGTGGTTTGGGGGAAAGGCTTCCTACCACCCCACTCCGGATTTCCGCCTCTGACCCTGGGCCCCTCACTCACTCAGCTCCCGCCTCAGTGTCTGGATGAGCGGGTATCCACCCTGGTTGCAGAAGGAACCCCCGAAGTCATCTAAGTCCAGTGTCCAGACCATGGCCCCACCCAGACCCTTCTGCTTCAGATAGGTGACCTATGGGGAGGGAAAGGGAGTAGCCAGTAAGCCCATCCAGTCCAGTGTCCTCCTTCCATACCTGGCTGGTTGGGGGCCTTTTTCCTTCAGCACCCCCAAGCCTATGAATGGTTGAGGTTTCTGGAGACAGCCCTGGGCAGGGAGTCTGCATGGTTGAGTTTTTGCTCCCTGTGGGCACTAGACATTCAGGAAACCCCTTGTCCTGGTACAAGCCTGGGGCACAGGGTGAGGGTGAAGGGGAAAGGGATGGGTGGGTGTGTGACTTTCCTAGGCTGGAACCCTTAACAACTTGGCCTTTTCTGGGCTGAGTAGCTGTGTCTGGAGTTCTGTCTGCTGGCTGTGTTGAGCTCATTTATCATAGGGAATGACTGTTTTGCTTCCCTGTCTTCATGTCTTCAACCTTCACAAGGACCTTCTCTCCTCCACCAGATTCTTAAGCTTCCTAGTTGGCTGTCCTTTCTCAGTGGATGCCTTTGCCCTTTAACCTGACCAAGGAGCCATGATACTCCCACCAGGATTGGTATGGGGGCTGGAGAATAGGCATTGCCTAGAACCCTTGCCGTCAATCTCCATCCCTTCACTATCCCCCTTTCTATACCTGTCTTCTTTCAAGGCTCCAGCTACGTGGGCTGCCCCAATCTTCACGGTCCATCCTCCATTTTCCTCCCTGCTATGTCTTTGCTTGAGTAGCTTCTTCCCTAGAATGCCCTACCCACCTTCTCTGCTTTAAGGCTTATTTTGAGTACCTTCCCATCATGGCCTCTTCCCCACCTTTCCTGCCAGGCTCCTCCTTGATTTTCTCGGAGCGCTTCTTCTGCACTTCTAGAAAAGCCTACCACTGCCTGTCCCACGGGATCATCAGTGTGGGCTACTGAGAAACTAATTCAGCATCTCTCTTTAGAAGTGAATGCTCTCATGGAGGAGAAAGCACTGAAGCCACCAATATTGGACAGGAAGAGGAGTGCACACAAGTGAATCCAAAGTGTATCATTTGGACATGCAATGACTGTTGCCAATGCACTGAATAAAATGATAGAGCTCCCCAGATTTGTCTCCTCTATTCATGTCTGCAGAATTTGTTGTGTTTAATAAAATACAAATCTTTCAAAAGTGTAACTGAATATAGAGCAATTTTAGCCATTATGGCTTTTCTTAATCAACAGATGGCAAAGCCACAAAAGCTATCATGTGGGGATTTGAATATTTGAGTACTTAGGAGGCTCATTCTTGAGAGAGTTCTTAAAGCCATCATTTGATGTGATTAACAAATCTTGTGCTCACCCCATTTCAACCCCATATCAGCAGGGCTGGAACTCACCTTGGTTTTGAAGCTTTCCACGTCATCAAAACCCACCCATTGATTTCCCTGGACAGAGTAGGGCACCATCTGGTCCTTGATCCTGAGTTTGGCAGCCCCCTTCCAGGAGCAGACCTGCAGGAACAGAAGGTCAGTACTGGGGAGGAAAAGGGAGGCACCTGTCCAGGAGGAGACCAGGAACTAGAAAATTCCTGTCTGCAGGAGCCTGGAGAACCCAGGAGATTCTAGATTGAGTGATCCAGGACCCTAGATTCAACTTGAGGTATCTGGGCTGAAGGATAAATCCAAGATGACAGGGATATGATGGAATTTGCAGGTTAGGACCCACTGTCCCCAACATCTTCACTGTGAAACTACACAAGAAGGGGCCCTAGCCCCTCTCAGGCAGCCCCTGCTTCCCACAGTACTCAGTGTGGATGTAGGTTTTACCTCATAGTAAGCCAGCAGCCCTCCATCCTTGGTGAAGGGGCCAGGGGTGCCAGGCCCTGTGGCTGGGGCCCCCACTCCAGTGTCTGATGAGGAAGCCAGTGTGAAGGCCCGTCCGTAGGTGGGCATGCCAAGGATCAGTTTGTTGGCTGGGGCTCCCTTCTGTAGCCAGTATTGCACAGCAAAGTCCTGGTGGTGGAGAAGGGGGGCAGGGTTAATTTTCATTGCCATCAGTCTGATTCTGGCCAACCAGGACTAAGGACTCCAGAGGCAGAGTTAGTTGCGTAGGGAATCTTTCGCTAGAGGTTCAAGGATCTTTATTAGTGTTCCAACCTTAGACCATCTTCCTTAGATTCCTAGATCCTCTATCTCAGCAAAGAAGCCGCCTGGCACTGTAGTTCAAAGCAAGGACTGTGGAGTCAGACAGCCCTTCACTGAACAAATACTTACTGGTGACCTACTGTGTATCAAAAGGAGTCTGGTAGCGTAGGGGTTATGAGTTGAGCTGATAACCACAAGGTCAGCAGTTCAAATCTACCAGCTGCTCCGCAGAAGAAAGATTAGATTTTCTGCTCCCATGAAGATTTACAGCCTCGGAAATGCTTGAATGATTGATAATATAGGGGTTATAGATACATTTTAGTGAGTAGGCAAATTTTTAAGTAAAGAATTCATGAATCATTATGGTTGACCATATCTACACTAACAGTATGTTGTTGTTGTTAGGTGCCCACGAGTCAGTTCTGACTGTGCAAAACATAATGAAACACTGCCTAGTCCCTTGCCATCCTCACAATCACTGTGACATTGCAACCCATTGTCACTGTCACTGAGTCAGTCCATCTCGTTGGGGGTCTTCCTCTTTTTCTCCAACCTTCCATGGCTAATGGCTTAGTGAGAATGAGAGGATACATTGTTTGTACAGGTTCTGGTACAGAACATTATTATTACTAGTTTATCAGTTTCACTGAGAACAAGTGCAGACAGTTGGGTCTGTGCCATTTGGCTCTGATTTATCTTAGTTATCTCCAGTGCCTAGAACAAGGCCTGACACCTAGAAGCTCAAATACAAAGAACAAATGAGGCTTCCTCTTCCTCCTCTGAACAATACCACACCTAACATCACGTATTACTAGACCTAATACCCCAAGGCCTGTGGCATGAGCAAGTACCCAACATAAATATGTTGAGCTATGGAATATTGAAGATTCTTCCCTTACTAGGATTACAGGCTCACTTTACCTAAGAAGCCACCGTATTTGAGTCTAGAGCCTCTGGTTCTGCTGAGTCCCCTTAGTGCTTAGGAGAAGAACCATTTTCATAATATTTGTTTATCATTTTTGCTGTGTTTTTTGCTGGAGCTCTCTGAGGGTAGAGGTAAGGGCCATCTGTTAAATGTTTGTGCAGGTTTGAAAAGGTACCTCTGTGACTGAACACAATCCCCAGGCACCCAGTGTGCTGAGCAGAAAGTCTCTTTGTAGGAAGAAAAGGGCTTCCCCTCCCCTGGATGGACCCAGGACACACAGCCTGGAGCACAGGGAGCGTGCCAGCGGGACTTCAACCTTATCTGAGACTCAGCTCCCAGACAGATGCCTTTGTGTGTCTTCCCACTGGGATCTAGCTCTGCTAAGAACCCACACAATCTTTCAGTTATGGGTGGAGGGTCAGGCTAACGAGTACCTGACTCACCAGCCCAGACAGGTAGTCTTTGTTTGTCAGAGCCACCCCCGGCGGACACACAGAGGTCTTCCCAAATTAAAAAGCACCTTAATTTAGGACTTTTTTTGCTGTGGTGGTTGTGTTTGTTTTATTTTTAAGAAAGAGAAAGAATATGGTCATGTTTCACTTAAACAAAGCCCAATAGTTACTATGAGGTTGATTCTCTGATTTATGGTGACCCCATGTGTTACAGAGGAGAACTGCACCTCAGGGACTTTTTGGGGGCTGTGAGCTTTATAGATGCTCATCTCCAGACCTTCCTTCTGTGGTGCTGCTAAGTGGATTCAAATTACCAACCTTTAGGTTAGTTGTCAAGGGTAAACCCTTTGTGCCATGCAGAGACCTCAGCTCCGCCTAGTCTAAAACCAAGTCTGCTGTTTTCAGGAGTGTGCAATGGGTAGTTCTACCCTGAGTGACGTCCCTCCACCAACAGCCAGGGAGCAAAAGTGGGCCCACTGTGGTTTTGACAACATGGTGGTGAGTGGGGGAGATTGAAGGAAGCAGGAGTCATTTTGGCTGGAAACTTAAGCTCAAAGAGGGCTTCCAGTGAGCCATTGTTTGTTTGATGTCATGAAAATGGATTACTGTGTCTAATATCAGTCAAGATGCTACCCAGCAGTGAGATCTCCCCTCAGCAGTGACATGAAGCGTGAAGAGAAAACAAGCAAGCAAAAATACAAAGATTGTTGGTTTCTCAGGGTTCTGCTTGGTTTTCCTGTCCTCCTGTTCTGTTGACACCCCAAGGGACTGATGGCATGGAGTCCTGCCTCACCCCCTGCCCACTTACCACATTGAGCTGAGCCTGCACACCGCTCTCTCCCTGCCTCTTGTAAAGAGGGCTGTTGTGCCCTGTGACCGTCTCCCAAGTGCCATGGAAGTCGTAGGCCATGAGGCTGATGAAATCCAGGTTCCTGCAGGAGGCACACACCAAGGAGTTGAGGGCCCACTTCCAAGGCCAGGAGAACAGGATAGGCCCTTCCTTCTCCCCCCAATAACCAGGAGGCTTCTCTGTAGAAGGTGACAAGGACAGCTCATCCTCCCTTGCCCCATTTGGCAAGGCCATTCTAGTTCAAACCATGAGATTGGCAGTGCCTGTCATCTTCAGCACCTTCCTCCCACTGTCCCCTCAGCTCCTCAGACTCCACTCCAATCAGGAGCCCCAGTAATATCTTGCTATTGTGGAGGGAAATCTAGTTCAGCATTTCTCTAACGTTAGTTCAATGTATTCCAATTCAGGGGGCTTGGGGTGGGGCCTGAGAGTCTGCATTTCCAGCAGGCTCCCACACTGTGAGGAGCACTTCTTCCCCCTCTGGGATGTTTCCACTGTAAGAGTGAGTCCCCAAGAAAGGATCCCAAACATCCAAGCAAAGGACTGTGGTGTCACTGGTGTCTCAGTCAGCCCTCCTAGGATTGCCAGTGGAGGGCTGGGGCTTTCCCCAAGTGACACTTTGCAGGTGACCACCTGCTCTGTTCTGAGGAAGCTCAGTCTGCCCTCAGGCTTCCCACCTCATACAACATCTGCCAAGACTCACTGAGCAATTTTGTCCACCTCGTATCCGGCATCCACCTGGGCTTGCCCTGCGGGGACAGCTGCACTGAGCAGTAGGTGCTCCTTCCCTGAGCTCTGGGCTTCCTGTCTGAAGGCGCTGGCCAGCTCCTGCAAGGACAGCTCAGGGTGAGCAGAGAGGTAGGGGCAGGGCCCCAGGAACCCAGGATCACACTCACTCTCCAGAGTCTGAAGACTGCTTACAAGCTGACCCATGTTATGCATGTACTTGTAGAGCTAGCCTTGGGGCAGACCAACATGCCTGCATCCCATGAGACCACAGCTCTGAGCCTCTGGCAGACTGAGTGGCCTCTTCCCCACCTACCCATACCTGCACCAGGGCTGTAAAGCGCTGCTTGTCTGAGGAGGGGCTTCCCCGGCTCCCGGGGAATTCCCAGTCAAGGTCAAGTCCATCAAAGTCATATTTACGCAGATAGTTAATGGCGGAGTTGATGAAGATCTGGCGGTTGTTGGGTGTGGCCACCATATCTGTGAACCTGTGGGGTGGGGAAGAGGCATGTAGTCTTGCCTTGGGCCAGACTGGGGACCAGCCAGGCCCTCAGAGGTCAGCCACTCGGGGTTGGGGTACCCGTGTGTCTAGGCTGTTTTTGATGTGCTGATGAGTTTGGAGGTCTGACTCAGGGGAAGGGACAATGTGGAAGTTCTTCCTGATCCCTAACATTGACTTCACAAGAACCACCAGATTTATTAGTAGTTCTTCTCCCCAAAAATTCTCTCTAGAAACCTACTTCCACGTCCCTGCTCTGGGAGTTGCCTGTCCCTGAGTCAGAGCTAGCGGTCAGTCACCTGGCATAACAGGTGATATGTCTTCTTTCCTAGAAAGGAAGAGGAACCAGTGTTGAAGATGAAGATGATGAGAAATGTCCATTGACATCAGTGGAGAGGAGGATGACCTGGGGAGCCCACTGTTCTCTGTCCCTGGTATGTTGACCAGCATCCTAACGCCCATCTGGGAAGTGTTTTGTACTATTGCTGTGGTTCTTCCAAAGCCCTCCCAAACCTCCTCCTGTCTCAGTGCTCCTATACCCCTGGCCTTTGTGGGGTCCCAAAGTCCTGGTGGGGTGCTGTGGGATAAAGCACTGGACCACAAGGTCAGTTTGAACCACAGGGTCGGTAGTTCAAACTCATCAGTTGCTCCTTGGAAACCCCATACAGGGTCACTATGAGTTGGAACTGACTCAACGGTACTGAAACAACAACAACAACAAAATTTTCATGGACTCAAGTTGTGTAGCAGCTGGCGGTCCATGGGCCTGGGGTCCCCCAGCTAAGAACTCCTGCCTTTAAATGACAAATCTGTAGATAAACATTATTTGGGGAGATGAATCACCAGATTGTCTTCTTTTGGAAACTTTTGTCAGATTCTCAAAAGGGTACATGATCCAACAAAAGCTTTAGAAAGACTGATTTAGAGCTTTGGGAACCATATATTCTAGATTTTCTGGGAAATTTCTGGTTCCAAATATTCTTTTTTATTATTTTCAAAAATCATCAAAATGTCCCAGAAATGCCAATGTTTTGGTATCCAAGCTTAATCTCAATGACTGCCTTTTACATCCAGAAGTAGAACAGAATACTTTCTCTGACAAGATCATCAGCTTTAGTGCTCAGAAGATTTCAACATTGTGTGTAGTTGGGGCTCCTTCCTCTTCTCCCCTTTCAGTGCATTTTGTGAAGGGGGAGTCTGAGGTCTGGAAAGAGGTCAGAACATGGCACTGTGTTTAGGTCTTGTGCCCCTAGGAAGATTGGGCCCATAACAGCCTGGAGCTAGCCTGCTCCTCTGCCTCCGAGACCCAGAGTCCAGGCTGCCTACCCCCACCCACCCACACCCCAGCCTGACCCAGCCCCAACTCTCTCATCAGGGTACTGTGTCCCCACCCTGTCAGCTCACCTCTGAGTGCCAAAGTTCCAGCCCCCAACAGCCAGCAGGGTCTTTAGTTTGGGATTCCTGGGAAAGACAGAGATGCACTGAAATTACTCACCAGCTCCCAGGACTTGCCTTCCTGACTGAGAAAGCAAAGGGGCTGACAAGATTGATGGGCAGGAGCTCTAAATGAGGAAAGAAAAGACACGTCCACGTTCCTGCCTTCAGAGACCTAACAGTCTGGCTGTGAAGACACAGTGAGCTGGAGACCAGACACACACAGGGAATTTAGGAAGAGCAAGATCAGGGTGTGTGGTCAGAGAGGCTTTGTGAAGGTGGTGATAAAGAACTTGAGCTGAAGAATGGACAAATTTTAGACGGAGGTAGGGCATTCCCAGCAGAGGAACAGGTTCATAATCCTGATTCCACTTTGACCTAAACTGGAAGGATCCTTCAGAACCCCTAATCTGTTTCATGAAGGGTGGGTGGGGTGATTTGGAACAGGGTAGAATGAAAATGGTAGCCCATCTTGGAGAATATAGTTAATGTTAGTGAATTGTACATGTAGAAATGGATGAGATAAAATAGGTTTTGTTACATATATTTCCACCACAATTATGATAATAATAAGAATCTCCTTCATCTACCCCCATCTCTTCCATACAAAACAGGAAAGCCCAGAGAAGGGATGTGATTTGCCCTAAGTAACACAGCAGATCTGTGGAGGACTTGCTGGGTTAGGGATGGTTTCTGGACTGTCCACTCTGCCTCCTGACCCCCGCAGCAGCTCACATCTTCTTCAGGCCATTGAAGTCTTTATACAGAGTCTCGTCATTCCACTCAATGGTGCTGAGCTGGTGATTGTTCATGCCCGCAAAGGCGTAGATAAGGTGGGTGCACAGGTTGGGGTCCACGTCCTTGGGCAGGAAGCGAGCAGCACCCTGTCTGTACTGGGCCCAGTTGGTGAAGTAGCAGACCAATTTCATAGCAGAGCCTGGCCAGTGGGGCAAAGAAGAGAAATAAATGTCAGTCAGATAGCCCTCTGGGAAACTGTGCCATTGGGTGTTGGGTGTCGCGAAGTAAGTCAAGAGATCTGACAATTGGAAAGGGGTTTTGTTTTTTGTTTGGAGCCTAGAGCTATCAGCTCATTCTTAGGACACCTGGGGGTGGGCAGGACCATCGTGGTAAACCTCATTTGATATGTAAGGAAACTGAGGCTCAGAGATAGCTTGGGACATGTGCCATCAACCTGGAAGTAGAAGGCAGAGCCAAAGGACTGGAGTTCAAGTCTCCTGACCATTTGACATCTTTGAGAGTCACTGGGTTCAGAGCATGGTCTCTAGGACCAGAGCCTGGGAGGCAGGTTCTCCACCCCAAGTTAGACCCTCTTTTCCAGGTCCTGACACTCCACAGAAGGCATTCCAGACACCCAAGCATAGTCAAAGGGAATGGCACGTTCATATGCTAAAGGTAGGGAGCCGTTTTCAAAATAAGGCAAGACCAGAGGACAGAATGTTCATTAGAATGCAAATGCACAAAGTAGCCGAAAGGAGTCCCAGTTAAGCTTGCTTTGAATCGGGTTTACGTGGACTCATTGTTCCCTGTGAGAACTGTGTTCATTAATATCACTGCTCAGGTTTTGCTAGAGGCTTGTTCTATCTAGGAAAGGCAGCTTGTCTCTGATATCTGTATGAGAAGACTTTGGGAGGCAGGGCTCTGCTCCCAGAAGGGGTTGACCAGGACACCAGGATGCAAACAAGTTGGTCTTTATTCCTGCATTTGTCACAAATGCCTTTGGATGCATCTCTTCTTCAGCCATAACCTCAGAGTTCCATCTAGAAATGACCATGTGGTCCCTGAGGATCCTTGTGGAGAGGAGTCTGCACTGAATGTGTCTGTGGCAGGTGTCTAGACCCTGGGGCTTCCCTGTGTTCTCTCCTCTTTTTGGAGTAGGTGGGAGGGTAAGGGGAGTGGTATTACAGGAGGGAGTGTGGGCAGACAGCCCCGTCTCCACTGGAAGTCAGCATGAAGGCCTGAGGCTCCCAGGACATATGGCTGCTTCCTGGGGTAGGGGTTGGGGCTCTTGGACATGTCCTCAGCTCTAACCAGAGGCCAACCACGAGTGGAGCTTGCTGGAGGGGGCTGGAGGTACAGCCTGCAGTGATATAGATGGAGGATGGGTGCACTCCCCAAGACGAAAGAAGGAAGGAGGGGGTTAACCCAGAGAACACACTCCCACAAGCATCTAGGGAGGACCTTGGAGGCACTTTTCGCATTCTCTCATATTTTTCAAATAAGGTTTTTGTATAATTGAGGCAAAAAAGTGTGTGGTGGCTTAGACTCTGGAGTTTCAAATCCCAACTCTGCAACTCTGACTCAGTTTCCTGCTCTGTAAAATGGGGATGATCATTGTACCCACCTCCTAGGGTTGTTGTAACATAAGAATTAACATATGTCAAAGAGAGTGCCTGGTATAGGGTATGCTCTATTTTAAGTGCTTTATAGAGATTACCTGTCAGTCCACACAAAATTCTATCATCATTACTGTACTTCAATAAAGCCCAGAAGTAGATTGGACTACAACTCCCTGAGAAATCATCAACCTTTCTCTCTTCCCCACATTTGTTATTTCTGTACCCTCTGGTATAGGAGAGGCACATAGAGCAGTAATTATAAAGACTCTGATGTTGTTGTTGTTGTTGCTAAGTGCTGTTGAGTGGATTCTGACTCAGAGCAACCCTGCAGGGTTCCCGAGGAGTGATTGGTGGACTTGAACCACTAAACTTTCTATTAGCAATCTTTCTACAGTGCCACACTAGGCCTCCAAAATGCTCTGACATGTCTCATAAAAATGTGCTTGTTGTTGTTGTTGTTGTGAAGTGCCGTCGAGTCGGTTCCGACCCATAGCGACCCTGTATAGGGTTTCCAAGGAGCAGCTGGTGAGCTTGAACTGCTGACCTTGCAGTTCAAACGGCTTTGCAGTCTGGCGCATTAACCCATAGTACCACACCAGGACTCCTAAAAATGTGCTTAATTACCATGAAAGCACAGAGGTGGGAGAAAGTGACCTCAAGAAAGATCTAAGTGAGGCTGACATTTAAGCTGACCTGTGGGTGTGCAAGAGCTCAGCTAGTGAAGAAAGAGGCAGGAATCTCTGAAGAGTCTGAAGTGGGATAAGGACATATGTGGGGTTCAACTTTAAAGGAACATTCACACTGACACTAGCAGGAGCTCTCCGTGTGTATGTGTGCGCGCATGTATGTAACAAAGCTTAGAAAGGGGGCTGGGAGAAATCAAGGACTGGTTTCAAGTAAGTTGCCACTTACCCCATTGGATCATCAGCAGAACTGTCAAACCTGAGCCAACACAAAGAGAAGACAGAGAGTTACAATGTTACTCTCACTTTCCCAGGCCCCTTGTTGTTATTAAGTGCCATCTTAGTGACCCTGCATAGAGTTTCTGAGGAGCAGCTGGTGAGTTTGAACTGCCGACACTGCAGTTCAAACCAACCTTGACTCATCCTACAGCACGACTCCAAGCTCCTTAAATGTGAAATCTCATGAAAATCTCCCCCCACTCCACCACATACACATTCAGAAGGGATCTAGGTGGGCTTCTCCCTGGCCAGGACTGGTCCTTGGAGCTGGTGGATCCTCTCTAGAGGGTCACTGGAGACCAGTGTGGAATTAGGAAGATGCTGAAAAAACCCTGACTTGTAACAAGTTCAGAAAGAAAGCTTCCCTTTTGGAATGAGAAGAAAATCTGAAAAGAGCCTGTCTGCAAACGCTGGGCTTGGAGGCCACAAAGCGCCTCTGCCCTCCTCTGTTTTCACCTGCTGCTTTCTTGCCATACCCACAAGAAGCTGGCTGTGCTTCCAGCATCCTTAGAGTCCCAGGGCTCCAGGATTGGAGGTTGCGGGGGTGGGAGGGGCCTCGAAAATAAAGTAGCACTGTTTCTCTGAGGCATGATGGGCAGACCAGCTGGAGGAGAGGAAGAAGGCTGTTTGGCTGTGGAGAGGAATCTCGTGACCCAGGCAGTCAACACCAACATCTGAGCACCTCCTGTTGCTGGTATTTTACGGAGTCCTCTCACTCAGTGCCCCCAGCAGTGTCCAGAGAAGAAGGTATCATTATCCCTACTGCACAGTGTGGGCCACTTGGAGTTCGGTGATGCGTAACCACTTGTTCAAGATTCCCAAGGCTTATGTGGTGGAGCCGGGCTTACCGCCTGACTCATCTATCTCCAGAGGCAAGTGCTGAGCCTCCTTCCCCGCAACATTTTGTAATCTATGATTTTTATGCTCTTTGTTTCATTGTTGTTGAGGGGAGTTAAGTTAAAGAGTCCTAAAATCCTGGGTGCTATGGGACAGGACAGAGGGAGAGGCAGAGGTCATGGCCTGAGCTGAGGACCTCTGGGCTCATGCTGGATCCCTGTGGGTAGAAGGAGCCGAAGAGAGGATGAGGCTCTAGGACCCACCTCCAGCCTCATCACTTTGGGCTCTGAGACGCTCCTTCAAAGAGATTCTGATGACCAAGAATGTCCTGTTTACCTAGTAAAACCAGCATGAAGATTTGAAAGGAGTTCCAGGGTGGATGACTCCCAGTTTCACTCTTGCAGGTTAACCCACATGGCACTGAGACTGGAAAAAAATCCTTATTGGTGGACACAAATTGAATAAGGTCAAACGGTAGGGACCTGAGAATACAGGGCAGACAAAAATGCCCCGTGCACTGTCCCTGGGATTCCAGAACAGAAGGAAGAGTAGCTTTTATGGTCCATTGAAGAAAAGGCCTTTCCTTGCAGCAGAAAGATCCCAGTGAGAAGGGATGAATGAAAGTTCTCCTAAGTTCTCTTACTTTATCTTTCAGTGGACTCCCACCCCCTGGCTCCCAAGGCCCAGCCCACTCTCCCTAGCAGTACCCACTCACCTGCCCAGGCCACAGGTCTTGCCATGGTGCTGGCTTAGCTGCAGACTCCAGCAGTTGCACCCAGCTCTCCAGGGCCTGCTCTTTTATCTAGTCACCCTGTCCCACCCCAGCTGGCAGTGGTGAAATCAGGAGGGCAGAGGGAGGAGAGAGGAAGGAATAGGGGGCGTGGTGTGGAGGGGGCTGTCAAGTGGCATGGATTGGGCAAATCTGACACAATGTCCTTTAACAATTCTTGTTTTTCGGGAACAATCACAGGGTGTAAAGTGGACTTTTGGCAATGCCAAACCACAAAGGAAAAAGAAAAGCAGGACATGCCTCAAAACCTTCTGCCAGACAAGCATGACTCTGACTAGCTTTGTGTGGGTTGAGAAGGAGCAGAAATAGCCCCAGACTTTAAGGACTATGGAGGAAGAGAAGTGATGCAAAAACCAGGGAAGCCAGGGTCCAGACCACCTTTCTTACTTGTACAACACCTTCTTTGGAACTTAGTTTCCATCGATAAGATCTGTGATGGATGATCTTATCCATGATGATGGTGTTGAAAACATACTGCAGATTTCATGATCTCCATAGGATAGTAATATTTTCAGTAACCATTGATTGAAAAGAATATATAATGATAAGCAGTGACTATGAGTTTAGTAATGGTTTGAAACACCTATGTTTCTGAGGAAGGGACCGAATTGAATGTATATATATTACTTAGTGTGTCTGGTGCAGGAATGAACTTCAGGGGCCCTGGAAAACCTCTGCAGCTTCTAAAGCATCTAGTCCTTTGTCCTTGACTTAAAATAAGTGGCCTGGGTGGCTGAGGGAATATCTGGAGGTAACAGGAGAAGCACCCAGTCAGAGGCGGGTGCGGAAGGCCAGAGGCAGTGATGCTTGAGTGGAACTTTAAGAACAAGTGGTTGCTGCCAGGGAAAGGGAAAATAGGCAGAAGCTGTGAGGCCGCTGATGAAGTATCCCAGCCAGAAACATGCCATCATGTCTGCAGGAATGTTGTTGTTGTTGTTGTTAAATATCATCGAATCAGTTCCAACTGTATAGAGTTTCTGAGGATCCTGTGGTGGGTTTGAACCACCAACCTTGTGGTTAGCAGACCAATGCTTATCCTACAGCACCACACAAGGACTCTGGGGAATAGTGAAGCATAATTTAAAACTCCATGCTCCATTAGTGGAGAACCATGAGTGGAGGAAGGCAGACTAGGATGCCCTTCTAGATGGGAGGGGGCTGGACCTGGCTGGGGAAGTGAAGAGAGAGAGATCAGTGCTTTGTTGACCTGAACTTACTTACAGGTACATCTCAGGCCAGGTAGGGCACAGCCCAAGTTGACCTGATAAGCCAGGCCTGAATTAAAAGATATTAACCACAAGAGATAGTAGGGAGTCCTGGCGTGATGCTGTAAGATAAGCGCTGGACAAATAACTGCAAAGACATCAGTTCAAACCCACCAGAAGCTCTTCAGAAACCTTATACAGGATCTCTGTGAGTCAGAACTGACTCATGGGCACTTAACAACAACAACAAGGAAGAATAAGTTCCTTCCTGGGGACTGAGGTCTGGGGAACAGGGGGCAAGCCAATTTCACTTTAGCCTGAGATGTATCTTCTCCAGGGAATGACCCCAAGTGCCCATCCTGAGCCCCCCAAACAGGTCACTAATGTATAGAGCTGGAAGATCATAATACTTCCAGAAAGCTCTGATCAACCATACCTCCTCCATGTCTTTGCTCCTTAACCCTCTCCTGTCTGGGCTGCCCTTCCTGACCTCCCAATCTTATAGAAGTCACTCTGAGTCAAGCATTGCCTCTCTCCAACCTCTCCAGTTCATGCCATCTTCTGCACTTTCTGAATAATCCCTTAGTTCAGAGTAGGTGGGACCCAGCTTGGGGTCAGACAGATCTGATGTACCTCAATAGTCACCCCAAGGAATGACTTTGGGGAGCTTTATCCCCTCCCTCCCATCCCCATTGTCTTCTCTCAAAACCATTCCAGCTACCTCCAAACCAAGGCCCAAGTAAAGCCAGTGTGCTTGATATATAAATGGTACTTCAAGACAAGTCCTCAGCCCATCCTCTGTCCAGAGCAGATCTCTCCATGGAAATCCTGGAGTGCCTTAGTTTACATTCACCCTGGATGACTGATTTGGACTGGCTGTGACCTCTTCAGGCCTCAGTTTTATCACCTGTTAAATAGAGATCATAATACCCATCCTACTTGGATGTGGTGCTGATCGAATAGCTAATAAGTGAAATGTTATTGCGTTGTTAGCTGACATCAAGTCAGCCCTTGATTCTTGGAGACCCTGTGCATACTAGAATGAAACACTGCCCAGTCCTGTCCCATCCCCATGACTGATTGTGGTTGCATCATTAGCATCCATAGGGTTTTCATTGGCTGATTTTTCAGAAGTTGATCGCCAGGCCTTTTTTCCTAGTTTGTCAGTCTGTAAGCTTGGCTGAAAGCTGTTCAGCATCATGGTTGCACAAGAGGCGCATTGGCCAGGAATTGAACCTGGGTCTCCAGATTGGAAGGAGAGAACTCTACCACTGAGCCACCAGTGCACTTCAAGTGTGGAAGGACTTTGTGAATGATGAGGCACTCACCAGGCCATGCTATTGATACTGTGACCATAATGACTGGAGTCACACTTCTCTCCACATGTTCCATGGCTTCCCTGGATGGGGAGTCTCACAGGACGAGGCCTTTCTCCATACTCCTCTACATACCCCTCTGTGCCAAGCATGTGGTGAGCCTTCCATGAATGTCTGTATGCTCCTTCTTACCACACCCCAGCTTGTTCCTTCCCAGTTCCTCCCCATTACAGTAAAAGGTACCACTCCTTACCAGTTCCTCAGGTTGCCTTGGAACCACCCTTGACTCTTTCCTTTGCTTCATCTTCATGTGACTAAGCACTACGAGAAGTCCTCCCTTCTATTCCATGTCTGCCACCACACCCAAATCACCATCATGTCTTGGCATATCCACCTAACTGGACTCTCCAACTGTTCTTCCATCTCTCTTGACCCCCTGAAACCCATTCTTCACACAACAGCTGGCGTGGTCTTTTAAAAAAAACTTATATCAGATCCTGTTACTCTTCTGCTAAGACCCCTCAATGGCTTCCCACTGTACGTAGAATAAAACACAGACTCCTTAACTTTGTCTCTTGAAAATTCTAAGTCTGTTCATTCATGAAGACCTTTATACCTGTCCTCGCCTCCATCTGGAATGTTCTTCCCTGGGATCTCCACGTGCTGGCTTCTTCTTCCTATTTAGGCTTTTCCTGACCACCCTGTATAAAATAGCATCCCCCAGTCATTCTCTGTCCCATTCTGCTGATTAATTTTCTCCTAAATACCATTCATGATCCAAATTTATCTATCTATCTATCTATCTATCTATCTATCTATCTATCTACCTATCTTTCTATATCTATATCTATACCTATATATCCACCACACGTCTGTCAGTTTGTTGTACTGTGGTGGCTTGTGACTTGCTGTAATTCTGAAAGCTATGCCACTGGTATTTTAAATACCAGCAGGGTCACCCATGGTGGACAGGTTTCAGATGAGCTTCCAGATAAAGACAGACTAGGAAGAAAGAGTGATGAACTACTTCCGAATATTTAGTCACTGAAAACCTTATGAATAGCAGAGAAACACTGTCAGATATAGTGCCGGAAAATGAGCCCCTCAGGCTGAAAAGCACTCAAACTGCGACTGGGGAAGAGCTGCCTCCTCAGAGTAGAGTTGACCATGATGACGATGAGAATGAAGTAAAGCCCATGGGAGAAAAGCCCACAGGACCTTCATGTGCTGATGGGGCACAACTCAAAATGAAGAGAAACAGCTGGTAACATCTCTTGAAAATCAGAACATGGAATGTACGAAGTATGAATCTGGGAAAATTGGAAGTTGCCAAAAATGAAATGGAACGTATAAACATCGATACCTTAGGCATTAGTGAGCTGAATTGGCCAATTTGAATCTTACAATCACATGGTTTACTATGCAGGGAATCACAAATTGAAGAGGAATGGTGTTGCATTCATTGTCAAAAAGAACATATCCAGATGAGTCATGAGGTACAATGCTGTCTGTGATAGGATAATTTCCATGAGCCTACAGGGAAGCCCAGTTAATACCACTATTATTCAAATTTATGCACCAAAGACTAAAGCTAGTGAGGATGAAATAGAAGAATTCTACCAAGTTCTTCAATCTGAAATCGAGCAAACATGCAATCAATATGCATTGATTATTACTGGTGATTGGAATGCAAAGGTTGGGAGCAAAGAGGAAGAATCAGTAGTTGGAAAATATGGCCTTGGTGATAGAAATGATGCTGGAGAACGCATGATAGAATTCTGCAAAACCGAAAATTTGTTCATTTCAAATACCTGCTTTAGACAGCATAACAGACGACCTCACCAGATGGAATACAAAGAAATCAAATTGAATACATCCGTGGAAAGAGACAATGGAAAAGCTCCATATCATTAGTGAAAACAAGGCCAGGGGCAGACTGTGGAACAGAAGACCATCAATTACTCATTTGCAAATTCAAACTAAAGCTGAAGAAAATGAAAACAAGTCCATGAGAGCCAAAATATGACCCTGAATATATCCCACCTGAATTTAGAGATCATCTGAAGAACA